GGGGGAGTGAGTCGGGCCCCAGCCAGATGGATGGGAGCTCGGAATCGACTCCAATCATAGCGTAGTGTAGTATACTCCGTAGTTTACTTGAGCCCTCGTGGCTTGGGGGGGAGCCGAGCATGTTGGTCCTTCCGGAGCCTTGAATAGCAACAGGAGAGGGGGAGCTACCCCAAGCTCATTAATTCATTCTTCGCAAGCTCGTTCCCAGGCTCCCGGTGCGAGCAGTGGTTTCAGCCGAGGGAGGGGTGCCGCCCGCTTTCGGTTGGCGCCACCTGTTTGCCGTGTGCCGTGGCGCCCGCGAGGACTGCAACCACGCGGCGTTGGCGAGAGCTCCAGCGAAGGATGTCCCAATTGATACATCTCATTGGACTCCTGGCCTCCCAGGTACTCCCGTGGATGGCTGTTGGTTCCCGTTCGCGCTCCTGGTGCCACACCACCTCCTCTTGCGGCTGTCCCATGGCGGTGTGGTCCTCAATAGCGCTGACGGGAGGGGGTCAGCTGGCTCGAGCGCGCGCTTGGATAACGGAAGACGGAAAGTAAACAAACAAAACAAAACAAATCAGATGCTCAGCATGAGATGACGATGACGCGCGAAATTGTCGCGAAACCGTTGTCACAAAACACACGGTGAGGCAGGACAAAAACCGGGCACAGGGCTCGCACGGCGTACTGAGCTTCTCTGCATCGAGATTCTCAGCAGGTTCCGGTGGGTTTCGCAGTGCATGATGAGATCAATAGGTCGGTCGCGTCGGCGCGTTGTTGTGGTTAGCTCCCTGATCGCCGGGACCGGTGACGTCGGGCAGGGCCGACAGATCAGTGAACAGGTGCTGGATCGATGATTGCCGGGATCACCTAAAAGGCAACCGCCTCGGATTCGATCTCATTCAACGCGGGACGGGCATGTCTCTGGCCCGCTGGCATTGACTGATATCCATGGACCCGACAGGGAAAGGCGGCCAAGCGGCGAAGAAGGCGTTCCCGCGGCGTGGGTTGAGTTTGTCCCGGTTTGGAAGCACCCTGGAAGCAATCCTTGGAGTGCCAGGAGTCAGGAGTGTCCGACGGCGCAGGCGACAAGACAGGACGAGAGAGCCCCAATATCGCCACCCGGATCCTCGTGGGAGCAGAGTCTTAGTAGTACACGTGTAATTCCCGTATGCGAATCAACGGAATCTCGATTTGTAGATCACGGCCACTGAGGTCGGAATCCGCACACAGCGCTTCTTTTGGGATGCATTTCCTGATCTTCTCGACCGCGGGAGGCTCAACTGGCACAATTGCATTCCGTCATGTGCGGCCCGAGGCCTTGGTTAGGCCATCCATGGACATTAAAGCTTGTGGTGTCGTGCACTGCCAGACACATGGTCGCATACCCACCCGCAAGTCAGCCTGCCAGCCTGCTTGCTCGCAGTGCCGACATTCGTCGGAACCCCGTGCCTCTCTCCGCAAGTCCTGCCGATGGATTGACGATGATCACTGGCCTTGGCCCCGGCCCTTGCCCTGGCCCTGACCCCGGGCGAGTTGCAAGTCGTACGGAGTATTCCAGCAGGATCCAGTACTGCACCCAGGGTTCAATGAAACGAAAGTGATGTCGACCTGCCATTGGAATGCGGTGACGCCATTGGTGCTCCATCCAGGTTTATTACTTCGAGAACATCGACGAGCCTCCCCGGGTGGATACGACTCTGGGCTAGTGTGACTTCAACCCTGGCAGCCAGCCCTGCTTGCCCTAATTGCCTTGCCCACCTGCCCGCCTGATCCCCAGTGCCGAGAGTCGTGCAGTGCAGGTCCAGGGAGAGCAGCGAGAGAGAGCGTGGGGTTACTGTGCACTGTTTGATCGGTAGGAGTTGCCTTGGAACAGGTCCAGTTTTGATTTTCCTCCGACATCATCGCCAGGCTCGTCGTCGTGGAGACAGGAATTAGCTTAGGGCAACCGTGAGATGGAGACGGCCGGACCAGCACACAAACAGGCGAATTTGCCCCGGTGTCGACTGACTGCGGCCTCTCGCTCTCACACAGCCTTGTCAGTCTGCCCTGTTGAGGGAAGGCGCAGCACCACAACCAGTCCCCAGTCCCCTCCTATCCTGAACCGACATTCGACCGTGATCCTGCCGCCCGTCGGCTCGAGGCTGGGGTCTGCATCCATGGTGCACCGGCCTCCACCTCAGCTCGGGTCGAGTCAGTCAGGTGCGTACAATCTGGAACACAGCCATGTCGTGATATCTTTGCCCAACGAAGCTTATCATCTGCATCACCGGATCACCTTGGAGCACCAGGGTTTCGAATTGATGCAATCCCGATAGCTTGGACCCCTCTCGAGCATTCCATTGCTGCCCCTCAAGCCGTGGCTCCGACTCGGCAGTGCTAGGCGTGGAGGGACCCCCCAACAAGCCCCCGCGTCTATCACGACCGCGAGCCCGCGAGCCATACCAAAACGGACAGCTGGATGCTTCTTGTTGTAGTATGATTCCCGACAGGGCCGGCGCAGGCGGACCCAATCAGCGCTACTACATAGCACTCCAGGGTGTCAGCCGGTGAGCGGCTTGCCCTTTCTGGTGACGATGGAGTCGGACGGCTGTGCTGAAAAGGCCTTCTCTGGACCCTTATTTGCTAGATGCCATGCCAACCGAAACATGCTGTCCAGCGTGACTCTCCCCTGTTCATCTAGCATCTTGGATATGGGACATGTCTCAGCCATCCAACCAGCCGGCTGGCTTAGAGCTGGCTTAGAGCTGGCTTAGAGCCGGGCTTAGAGTGCTGCCAGAGGGCAGAGGACCCTTGACCCCTGCCCGTCGGTTGCTGGGTAAGGAATTAACCCATACACCGATCCTCCCACAAAGACCCGTGGGGAGAAGGCAGCTGGAAGGCTGGTACGGAGTACTTGTAAAAATCCCAGAGGTCAATCGCTTGCTTGTGCGGTGCGACAGAAAACCCTCGGTACTTGAGATCAGGCGAAGCCGAGTCAGCAGTCTGATGGGATGGAGACCGGATGGATCAGACTGCCTGTTGCCGCAGAAACAGAGCAGCCATCGTCCTCACTCTGCATGTGCATGGAGCCAAAATAAAAAGACATGGGACGACCAGACGACCAGACGACGACACGAATCCCCCTGCCGAAAAGCTGGGCAATGCCATGGAGAACAATGGATTTGAAATAATCGATCCACGAAGCTGGCCATCTTGATCTCTGCCGGGCATGCTGGATCGGGAATTTGCTATTCTTGGGCACTCAGAATGTTGGATAGGAATCAAACGCTGTTTGCTGTCCCTGCCCATAGCACCTGCGGCTGTCCAGGTCCCAGGTCCCGGCTGCCGGGGTCCCTGCTGCAAGTGCACGCAGTCCTAATCGAGCCTCTAGCTTGAAGCAATACTTGGTTCCTGTATACAGTAAGAATTTCGATGGGTTTCCCGGGCTCTTCCCAGCACTGTCAAGTCAGACCCTGAAAAAAAAAATTGTTCGAAGCGGACCATATGACAGATGGCATCTCACCAAGTGGGACGGAGGCATGCAATATAAGCATTTCGATCAGTCAGGCGAGTGCATGCAATACGCCGCAGATTCCACCATGACCCAGTAAGAATGTCAAAAATTCCGGCGGCCCTCGGGCAGGTCTCGCCGCAATTTCGAAACTTCCGGACGAGGCAAGACATGTGCAGACACAGTATATACCGACGACGATGCCTATGTGTGATGCAAATGGCCAGCCAGCCAGCCAGCTTGGTCACCCCCAGCCTTGCAGTCAGTCTGAATCGCGGAGCACCGGAGAAAAGAAAGAATTGTATGCCTGGCTGTCTGGGTGAGAGTTGCCCTGACAGACGGCCAAAGTGCAGCGTCGTGCCACTGTCGCTAGGGGGATGACGGAAGAAAAGCCATGTGCTCCATGCGGGCAGCCAGCCAGCCAGCCAGGCTTTGCAGGCTGAAGGCGGCCGGGGTTGCACCAATTGAGGGACGGACGGGTGACGACGGATGATGGGATGGCGTTGTGCAGCTCCCGCCCTCGCTGTCGCCGGGCCAGCCCAAGGGGAGAAGCAATATCAAAGGTGACCGACTGCTCCTTCGTGCAGTATGTCCTCAGCACCATGGTGATCCATCTGGAAGGTCCACGCATTGGAGCCTGCAGTACTATACTGTGTGCATGGCAAGGCTTGGTTGCTGCAGTGGCTGCACGAGACAGTTGCTGGCAGCTGGTTGCTGGCTTGATTGATCCGTTGCTACCGCGAAAATCAATCGATCGATCCGTTGCCGCTGATAACAATCGACAATACGGAGACAATACAGTAGACAATGCTAGGCAATCACAACGGTGATAGCAACCAGCTGCTAACAACGGCTTCTAGTTTTTTCCCTTCTCTCTCCAGGGCCAGGTAGTGTTATCCACAATCGGTCAACTGCCAGCAGACTGATGGGGTAGCCCTGCATCAGGACCTCGGCATCCCTGCAGCTGCGCCAAAGTCTCCTGGACAACAAGAGAGGTACCCTGTAGGCGGCCCATGAACCCAGCCCACCCTGGTCTGGGCTTGACAGGCACGACAGCAGCAGCTGATACAGCACAGTACCGTAGCATCAGTGCACCAGCAGGCGCAGCCCCAATCCATCGCTTCTGCTTCTGCGTTCGTTTACATCTACACTATCTACCTGACTACCAACGCATGAGGTAGCAGCCAAATCCAAGCTGCCAGCGGGTGACCAACCAACCACACAAGGATGCAACAATTATAGCAGCAACCAAGCATCGTCAATTCCAAGATCAGACTCGACAGGTCACGTCATTTGGTCTGCCAGCCAGTCAATCCAGGTTCAAGTCTACCCAGGCTGCCAGGAAGCCATCATAGCAAGCAAGACTAAGGTACGTACCTACCTACCTAGGTAGGCAGGGTCAGGACTCAGGACAGGGTTAGGCCAGGGCAGGGCGTGGCATGGCATGGCTGCATGGCAAGGCTAGCACGCGCCCTAGCTCTGAATCTTGTTCCTTGGTCCTGGGTTCTGTCTACACCAACGCCAGGTTCCTGTTCCCTCTGTTCGGTCTGTCACTTCTGTCAGTCCAGACCCGGCTGACTCTGGCACTACTAAAAGATCGCCCTTGCCGTTCCTCTCCACGCCCGCCCTCGTTCCTCACCAACCAGCTTCACCGTCGAGAATTCCTCCGGTTTGTCCTTTACTCCCCTCGTTGGCCGAATCTCCTCTCCCTCTCCTCTCCTCTCCCTCCGTTCGGCCTCCTATCCTCCTCCTCCTCCTCAACGGCCCCCCTCCGCCGACTTGCCTTGCTTGTTGGTCACGCCGACGACACTTGGACCTTGCTTTGTGCCATCGAAGCAAGCGTCCCGACGCCGATCGGTCGAGTCGAAACGAGCCACGACAGGGCCTCGAATTTAGCCAGTGCACAAGAAGGAACATACCCCACTCCTTCCTGTCCTGTCTTTTTACGGTCTTGTCCATTCGGCGAAGCGTCCGTGCCTGGCCCGTCCGTCTAGCCACTCCTACCCCGGACGTATGTACGTTTGCTTCAGGTCGGCCGCCCATGTTCTCGACAACAATTCCGGCCTCCTCCCTCGTCTCCTCCCAGAGACGGTAGGGGATTCCTCACCCTCACCCTCGCTCCTATATCTCCAACCATTGCCGACCGACCGCCCTGTGGATTTGACAACCTGACAGCGGCGCCACCACGGCCTTGATCTGCACTCGCCCCAGTATCTCCTCCTGTGTGTGTGCTGCACTTCTACGCCACAGAGAGAACCCACCCGTTCCGTTGCATTGCGTCGTGTCTAATTTCACACGACCTCTGATACCCTTGGCCACCTGCCATACCCCAGTCGAGCTCGAAACTCCACCCGCTTCCACTGTGTCCGGGGTTGTCTAAGGGTCTCTGCACAGAACCGCCAAAAATTAACCCACGGCGTGGATCTCGTCCCGTTGCACTGGGCGACGAGCTGCACCGAGCCTCCTTTTTCTTCGAGCTCGATCTGTCTTATTCCTTTCTTCTGCTTCCGGTCTATCCCTCCCTCAAGAGGTCCAACAGGTCACACGAAGCTTCGACTGGTCGATGGTCAAGACTCTGGTCCTCCAACAAGCACGAAATAGTTGCAGCTTTAGGCTACTGTACCTATCCAATCGCTTACTCTCCTACCAACATCCTCTCTAGGCCTTCGATCTATCTCTCCAGACCACCTGCAGATTTCGACCACCCGCTTCGTCCCAAGCTCCCCTTGGACGCTGCCACTCTGCATGCACCTGCTGGAGTGATATCGCCGGTCTGTCTCAGCAACCAGACAACACTACCCTGAATTATCCTTCAGTTCTGGGCTCATTGCCTGCAAGCTATACCGACCATGCAGACGTCATCTCCCTTGGCTGCCATGCACCAGCCGGCAGCCCCTACCTTTGGTCACCCAGATATATTTCGTCCTAGTGCTCATGCTGCATTTCATGGAGACTCGAAGGGCTCTGGGGCTCTGCTCAGGGAGCGCCTAAGACAAGGTGGCAAGGACTACTTCAACGTCAAAGGTGTCAGTGGGTCTTCGCCTACAGCAAGCTTGGCGGCAGATCTGTCTGCAAACTTCCGGATTGACAATGAAGCAAGGTGAGCAACATCACACTGGACCGGGCCGAGGGCCACAGAGCTACAGTGTACTGACTGCCATTGGCCACAGTCCTCAGTTCCCAACGCCTCGTCGGGCTCTCTTCACAACGAACGCTATCATGGGCGCCCTGGAGGGTCAACGTAAGGACAGACGCCGCAGCACATCTCGGGGGCAATATTAGAACTGATACCTTGCAGGATACCAGACGACGCCACCTCTACCTGCCTCCTCGCCCGCGTACACCGACATGGACATGGATATGGATGTGTCTCCGGTACCAATGGGAAAGGGTGTCTACGTGTCACAGGTCGAGGTGCACTCGCCTAGTCCTATTCTGAGTCCGGAGGACGATGAGGATATGGCTCTGGATTCTCCTGCGCCCATTTCACGGCATTCGTCCGTCGACGGCACAAAGCCTTTGGCTGAGTGAGTTTTCGCATGGCCTGGCCATTGAGGACACTCTTGGTGGCTAACCCTCATCTAGGAACCGCCGCACACTGAACCTCCGCCGGCCATCACTCTCAAGGTCAAAAGGCTACTCTACTGGTAACGTGCCCAGTCGGTTGCACCCCGAGGGCCAGCTTTCTTCGTTCAAGTTTGGCAACGATGGCCGTCCCGGGTCGTCGTCCTCTCAGATGTCCCTCAGCGAATGTTTCGAGGATTCGCCTCCACAAGAGCGTCGCCCGCAATCTGCTAACAGCCCGTGTGCGGCCGCTGGCGCTCTGCGGTCGAAAGCTCACTTCTCCAGCCTAAGTGGCGCGTCTACCCGGAACGGGTCTCCTATCAATGGCCATTCCCGGCGTGGTTCCAACCCACATCTCAGACCGAGAAAGCAGTACCGACGTTCTTTGAGCATGTTTGAGAGCGCGGGGGATGTGATCAAGCCGAAGGAAGACGTCAATGCCCCGTCAGGCCTGCAATCCGTTCTCGATGTCGAAGAGGCTGCCGAGCCTGTGCTCCCACATTTCTTCCCCGACGACCAGAACGACAGCATACCCCGGCTTTCTAGGGACACCTTCCTCGACATCCTCGACGGCAAGTATAATGAGCACTACGACCACAAACTCATCATCGATTGTCGCTTTGAGTATGAATATGACGGGGGTCACGTCGATGGTGCCATCAACTATAATGACAAAGAGCTGCTCGCCTCTCACCTGTTCAACAGCCCTCTGGAAGGACGAACCCTTCTGCTCTTCCATTGCGAATACTCTGTGCATCGAGCGCCTTTGATGGCACGCCACATACGTGCACAGGACCGCACTGTCAACGCCGAGACCTACCCCCGTTTGACCTACCCCGAGGTATACATCTTGGAAGGTGGCTACAGTGGTTTCTTCTCCGAGCACCGCCACCGTTGCTACCCTCAAGCATATGTGGAAATGGATGCTGCCGAACACGCCAGGACCTGTGAGAAAGAACTGGATCGTCTCCGGCATGCCCGTAAGGGTCTGGGACGTGCTCAGACATATGCTTTTGGCGAGAGGGAACACCTGGCCCTAGACTCCCCGACAGCTGGTCATCGGTACAGCTGTGACGATTCTCCCATGCAACTTGGCGACTCACCTAGCGTGGGCCACGATCGGGGCCATGCTAGGCGCATGGCTTCGTACTGATGTGACCAACATGACGTCGTGCTTTGCCGGTCCACCTGCTGAATGATTGTCGAAGCGTCCTTGCACCGGCGGCCCCCCAGCCAGAGAATAGCGAGCTGAGAGCATGGCCCCGTCAGCCGGTCCCCCTTCACTAAAGATACTATACCCAGCCAGCCACCCTACTTGCATTCTGGCGCTCAATTTTTCTCGGAGAGTCCGCAACCCTTTCCTCGGCAGACAACCCAAAACCACAACTGACCATGCTCGCCGCCACTTGCAAACACTACATCTTTAATCGTAATTCCCAGAGCTCACCTCGCGGACTCGACAGATTATCGATGTGCAACACCGTCGCGGTTTATCTGCTACTGCCCGAGGAATCCTAGGTTTCATTTCTTTCGGCATTACACGCATTGGCATAGACTCGCATCGCATCGACTGTTGCATTTTACTGGAGCTTCTTGGATCCGATGCCCAAAGTGGCTACTTGCATTTGGTCTTTCTACTGCACTCAAAACTTTTCCTCTGTTTTTATTTTCCTACGGTGTCGAAACCTCTTCGAAGGCTCTTAAAGCGACCCGGTACTACAAATACGCTCGCGGCTCACCTGCACATTGTTCTGCACTTGAACTGACCGCCGCTCAGTTTTCCGACTTGCACGCATCTCACTGTGTGCTTTGACTTCGCACAACAAATACTCTTCGGTCCGTCACCTACCGGAGGTCGACGCTTCTTCACACGGACCCCAGAAGCACTCTTATAAACCCCAACCCCCCTTCGGCCGTTCATAGCCGTTGGACGCTCTCGTTAAGTGACGGGATATTGATACCCTTCTCAAAATTACGACAAGGCATACGATCAATTTTCACGAATACAAGGAAACGGCGATAAGGCGACCAGGAAGAAGAAATGGACGCAAGAAGCGGAAGCGCCGTGATGGTACCAGGGAGACAGGACCGCGTTTGTGGAGAAGTTGATAGGCTGAGAACGCCGTCACTCCCACTTGGCTCCCGTGTGGAGCGTGAGGACCAAGGGAGCTTGAGGGTATGAGGTGGTGCAGCCGGAGGATGTTTCTCGTTTCTTGTTGCGGAGTAACACCCAGACTGTCACACCGACCCCCGTCGTTCCCAATACCTTGTATACTAGCGATCTATTTGCTGCCACTACTGCACGCTGCTTGCTGCTTCCACGAGTTTGGCGAAACGCGCCCTTTGGGATTGTCCTGAGCTTCCTTGAAAGAGCAAGGAACTATAACAGGCGTCGGGGGCTGCGAAGAGCGAAGCTTGTCTAAGACGTCTTTCTTCGAGTTTTTCTATTTTGTCAACAGGGCGAAACCTTCACTGGTTCAACTTGTCCTGATACTGTAAGGGAAGGGAAACGGAACTAGGAATCAAAAAGAAATCCTGCAAACACCGGATTCCTCCTGCGTGTCCTTCTGGACCTGAATGTTTGTCTTGTGACCGCGGGTGTAGCCTCGGGCGCACAGATGGGATAACTTGATTGTCTTCCCCGCCGGGCTTGTGTTGCGAAGAAGCCTCTGTGAAGTGACACTGCTATGGTTCCTGTGCGGGAGTGAGATGCTAGGCTTCAGCTCAACGCAGCGCATAGATTGAGGTAAGGCGAGGTAAGTATTTTCTTTCCTATCTTCACGCCACAGTGCTCGACATGAACACGAGGGCAGTGTGCCCCGTTGTTTCCCAACCCCGCTTCCGCTTCCCTGGTTCTTCAGCTCTCACAGGTTTTGAGTTAACTGATGGTTCTCCTCTCTCTCACTCACTTGCTGGCTCACTGCCTTGTTCACCCTCGCCGTTGCCTGAACCTGTCATCCCCTCTCACTCAAACACAATTCCGCTCTGACATGCAGTTTTAGTTCCCTTACACTCAACCCAACCAAAAGTCCCCCAATGTCAAGGGGTGCCCACGGCAGATTCACAAATGAAAGTCAGCCGTCCATTCGGCTCTCATCGGCTTGCGCGTCTGAAAGCGTCTGCGTCCACATGCCTGGTGGTCATAGGTCCATTCCAGATCCGGGATTGTTCCCCTGGGTCGGTACCTCCCGCCCTGGTGGGGTCTCATTCCATCCTGTACTTTGGTTACTAACCTTGCCAACCCACGAGGGGCTGGCTGGACCCGGCCGTGCTGGGAGGGGGGCGGGTTCAAATGTTGACAACGCCGTGGCTGCTGTCATCTTGTCTCGGTCGGCTGGCCCACCCCCGCAACGAGCCATCTGCTCGGGGAACCCGGGGAACTCGGGGTTGCTTGGTATGAGACACACATCTCGCGGAGAGGGGGGGGGGTTGACCGTACTCTGGGGACTTGTGTGGGGGGGGGGGGTTGGTCGTCTCTGGTATGGAGGCGTCCCGCGTTCTGGCGGCCGGCCGGCCCACGAGGCTTGGAACAGCAGGGGATCGAGATCTCTGATTTACAAGGCGTTTGAAGAAGCACTGGATGAGGCCAGAGAAAAATTGAAAATCATCACAGCCGTTGGTTCCGCAGTGGTGGGTGAATAAGTTATTGCTTCATAATGTGCTGCTATGGATGTATTTAAGCAGCGAGCTGTGGCCTCTACCTTCTCTCAAGAGGGCATTATTATGCAAGGGTATCTTTCTTCAGCACTTCCAAAATCAATGGAACGAAAGCATGCCGTCCCTTAAACTGCCATGCCCGGATCCCAGAAAATAGTCAGATGACCCCCACAAATCAACGCAATCTCTCATCTCAGCGGGCCTCTCTCTCGGCACCAAGGGTGAGTGAGCCTAGCCCTGAGGCTATTGGAGGGAGTATCGGCGTAGTCGCCGCCCACAGACGCTCGGGTGGCTGGACCGCGAGCGCGCGCCGTACCTGTGCGGTGCACAAGGGCCATCTGGCTGACTCGGCCGCGGCGTGTGCGGCGGCGGCGTCTTGGGCTCGGTGGTCTCCACTGGTGATCGTACCAGAGGTGTGTCCTCTTGGCCGCTGACATCGACCATCGCGGTATCCTCCTTCGCTACCGGAGCTGCAATACTGACATGTCCAAATCCCGGGGCGGAAGACTTCTAGTCATCCCCCAGCGTGAAGTCCCACGGCTTGAACAGCTCCCTAAACCTGGCCGCATCGTCTGTCTCCTCCTCCTCTGTCTGCTGAAAGTCCCGCCAGTTCATCCGGCCCTCGAGACCCATCAGCTTCGCGGCCACCTTGCGGGGGTACTGCAGGTCGAAACGGACGTTCTCGTCGAACCGCATCAGGAGGGTCTTGCTAATGATCGCCCCGCCCTCGTCCCCGGCGCCGTCGCCTGCGTCCTCGGCCCAGATCCAGACGCGGATGTAGTCACCTGGCACCTCGTCGCTGATGCCAAAGTCCTTGGCTACGAGGCCGGGGAGGCTCAGGTTCTCCGCTTCCACGCGGAATGCGGCCTCGACCAGGCCCTTCTTGACCAGGTCTGCCGGGATGGGCATGAACTGCCAGTGTGCGTGGATGCCTCCGATCTTGTTGATTTCCCACGTGATAGCCCCGAGCTTGTGGTTAGACTTCTTGGAGACCGTTGCCTGGAGAGCCTCGCGGAAGCGTGACATCTCCTTGAACGTGCGGTCGGCTGAGTCCTGGCCCATGGCAGCGCGGCTAATGGAGGAGACGTGCTCCTGCGGCGCAATAAGCATGTGTGATGGGTGCTCAAGGCCGTGCTCTGCGAACATGTCTGGCGTCGGCAGGGGGCCCCTGGCAGTAGCAAGGTAAGTGTCATCCCCGATGGAGCAGATCATGTGGGTCGCCACTATCTCGCTGGCGAGGCAAAGCCAACAATTCTCGGGACCCGGAGGGGGCATTCGGCGGGAGCGTTTGGATCTGTAGTTGTCGCCTTGGTGACCGTTGGCGAAGCGCGAGAAGCCTTCGTCTGATGGGGCCGGTCGCTTCTTGGGAGCATTAGCCCGACTAAGGAATGGTGACACGGTACTACCTTGCGGAAGTGTCCCCGTCGACGGCGTCAGCGAGAATGCGTACATTGCTTTCGCTTTATCGGGGTTGCCGTATGGCGCCATGGAGATGAAGCGTGTGACCTCGGTGTCGATCTCTGCGGAAGAATCCTTGGGTGGGTGGAAGAAGGGCTCTCGCTCGTAGAAGAAGGAAGCGTGAGAAGAGGCGAAGTGGTATCGAGGTTTCAGGGTCGCAGATAGATCAGCAATAGCAGCGCTCGTGACGACGCTGGACATATCAGAGGGAAGTGCGACCTTAGATCCGTTCCATACTGCAGACGGCCACATGGCAGTGAGCAGAATATCTGTGCTGTTGACGCCGCGCAATGCCTTGGCGTCGTCTGACGTGTGGAAGGGGAGGTGCTGTTCTTGAGATTGGCCAGCGACAATCTCCGGATCCAGTATGCCGCCTAAAGTTGCGATGCGGACACCCTCAGAAGTCTTGGTAACTCCACGCTTGTTCAAGTAGTGCAGGTTGGGGCAGATCTCCTCCTCTTTCGTGATCTTCTCGACGACCCGAGCGGGGAGTGCATGGGTTCCTACAGTGAAGTAGGTAGGCAGGGGCACTTGTATCTTTCCAGAGAGCAGATCGGTGACGGCGTCATCGTCTTCGGTACCAAAGAGGTCCCCAACGATCAAGGCAAAGGAGAAGTCGTTCTTCGCATGGAGGGCTGCAAGCTTAGAGAAGGCTGGCTGTAGTTTGCCATTGACACTACCAATGACGAAGCTAAGAAAACTTTGTTAGACAAGTCAAAGGGTCGCGGGGAGTTGCACAGGGAAACCGACATCTTTGGTACCGCCATTGTGGACCGTTCGTTCTCCGCCGAGTCGCCTCCACAGGGCCAACCCAAGCAAAGAATTGACGGGTGATGCCAGAGAGTCACCCGGCTGATCGGCGAAAAGAAAGCTCAAGAGCACCTGAAACAAGAATTGAAGACGAAAGGCGTCGCTGAAGAAGCTCGGTTCGGGTCTGAGGGTGGGTTGCAGAAAGCTCGGCGCATCGCTGCTCTTGGAGCCAAAGCCGTCGCAAGTTTGGCAGATGGGCAGAGAAACGTCAAGCTGCAAGCCTACCAGAAAACCGAGTCCAGATGGCAAGGGAGCTCGGGCGCTGAATAAGGTTATCTTAGCGCGGTTTGCTGCTTGTCCCTGCTTATCGCCCCACGCTGACCCTGGTCATTCTTATCGATAGGCGCCTTCTCAAAAAAATTCCTGAACCGCAGTCGCAACTTGGACCGGCTTGACATTGTCGCCCTTACACGCGACGAGTGACCGCTCAACCACAGACCGACTGTCCCACCTCTAGGAGCCGACTTTCCTAGACGCAAATATACGAGAGCCGATTCTTTCTGATCGGCAATCCTACAGTCGGTCATCCTACAATCTATGATCTTCGAGCCGGGATCGCATGCCCACTGAGCAGATCGCACTGCTTGCCGTGTTTCCTTGTGTTTGAACTTTCTTTCCACAGCCAAGATGCCCGTTACAACATCAGGGCGGGTCTCGAAGGCCCGCAAGAACTCGACGCCACACCAGAAGAACCACAGATGGGAATCCTTCTCGACAAAGATCTCCAAGTTAAACTCCCTCGACCCTTTGCGCAAGGTGCGCCGCCATGACCTCGAAGACGAAGACCTGTCCGCGACGACATCCTACCTCCGAAATGGCGTGGTCAAATGGAGCGACCTCAATATCTCCAAGTCGTTCACCGACTTCAAACGAGAGATCATGCCTCTCTGCGAAACCCTTCCACAAATCCTCCACTTCCAGGACAAGATCATGGATCTGCTGGCTCAGTACCTCGGCATGCAGGATAGGGAGGCCTTGGAGCCTCTGCTAGATCTCCTTACGGCCTTTGCCCACGATCTTGGCACAAAATTCGAACAATACTACCAAAGAAGCTTGGAGATTTTGGTCGCGATCGCGAGTAAACCGCAAGATGTCGACGTGATTGAGTGGACTTTTGGAGCATTCGCTTGGCTCTTCAAATATTTGTCAAAACTGCTGGTTCCGGACCTGACACCAACATACGATATGTTAGCAGGCCTGCTTGGGAAGCGAAAACACCCAATCCATATCAACAGGTTCGCCGCCGAGGCAATGAGTTTCCTGGTCAAAAAGGCCGCCGCGCCATCCAACCGCCAGACTGCCCTGCCTCGAATCGTTGCACACGTGAGGGATGATTTGCAGGACTTAGCCAGAAGCCTGGCGCGGAAAAATCAGGGTGACGAGGGAGAGCTGGCCGGGTATGAGATGGAAGCAGCATATAAGACCAAGCAGTTTGAGGCGTATCGAGAAGGGATCATGATAATGTTCTCGGAGGCCATGAAAGGGCCCGGGAGCACGCTTCACTCCACGGCCACATATCTGTTCGATGCCCTTCTTGAATCCGTGCCATCCACGGAGCTCGAGCCTGGGAATCCAACGTGCTGGACGGACGTCTGCTGTGGTGTTCTCATCAGTATTATTCACCATTCAACCGCCGATTCCTTCCAGGTCTTATCCGAATCCATACTCGAAGTCGCGTCAAGACGCATGAAAAATGAGGGCCAGGATAACCCTTTCGGACTTTCCTTGTTTACGCGCCTTCTCGGAATCATGGCTGGTGTGCGAAGTGGTTCTAGGCTGAATGATTGGCGACCTGTTGTCAAGACTCTCACAGAACTGCTTCAGCTGCTGTCCAAAGATGCCGACAATATTTCAAAATACTCTGGATCGATAGTTTGGGATACTGTGGTGGGGAACACAGCCATCTGCTGGACCCAGGCACCTATGGATGCACTCATGCCTTCACTCAACGACTTCAATAAGGCAATGACACGAGAGCCTCTTATGAGGTGGTACATACCATTCTGCGGTTACCTGGCTGAAGTCAATGGGGCGAGATTCCGCAGTCTCTTCCAAAAGCCGTTCCAGAAGTTTGTTGCGGCACACTGGTCAGAGACTGGGAACGAGGAACTGCTCTGTGTACTGCTGCCAAAGTTGGTGGCGTGCGGCGCTATACCTGCTGGGGGACATAAAGAGGGCTTCCTGCTACCACAATCATGGCAAGACCAGATTGTCACAAAATTTGAGGAGTTGGGAAACACGCCTTTCCCAGAAACAAACTCCCAGAGCAAGAACCCAGACGTCTGGCGGGACCATTGCTTACCAAAGTATGCCGCGCTACTCAGGGTCTTGGAGTCGACAAATGTGCACCCTTCCACCAACGCCAGAATCGCCGAGTTACTCCTTAAGAAGTTGAAACTCGCCTTGCGACCGTCTGAATCTCTCGCGACCGACGAGACTCGATTCATCGTCACTCAAGGATTCCTCGCATATCTACGAATGAGCAAAGCATCCAGCTCAGTCGACGGATCATTGAGTCCATTGCTGAAAGCCGCGGCACCACGCTTCTCCCGCAGCCCCTCGTTCCTTGAAGCCCTGCTTGGATATGAGAAGGAGATGCTCGCCCAGCAGAAGCCCAGTGGCAAGGAAAACCTCATCGTTGAGGATCACCCGTTTCTCCAGTCACTGGTCAATAATTTGGCCAACTCGTCTCGGCCCCTCCGTATGGCATCCTTGAAGGTATTCGATGTCCTGCCGTCTACTCCAGACCAAGACTCCTGTCTTTCGACAATGATCTCAGTTGAGGAGCTGCCTTTGGACCACAACAGCCCGAGGGCAATTGCAATTCATCTGCGGCGACTTGCCAAGTCCTACCCTCATCTTGATGAGAACTCATGGTTGCGGCATGCCATTCCAGCGTTCCTCTTCGGGCAGCTCACCATTAGACTCGCCCCGGTTTGGGATGACGCTGTGGAGGCACTCAAGCAGATTGCTGAAGACAAGTCTGCTGCTGAAATTGTGTTCAATCGGGCATTTGAATGGCTTCAAATTCCCTCGCCTCGCTGGACCCCACCACAAGTCCCATCCGGCCCTACCAGGGGGCTCACCTCGGACTTCGAGTGCTCGAACCTTGGCGGCCTGAGGGAGCAAGCTCGCGAAATCAGTGAAGCATTGGACGCTCCCTCGAGCATTCTGTTGCAACATTTTGAAGGCGAACAAGATATACCGCCTGATTATGTTGCCAACGCAAGGGCCAAAGCGCTCAAAGTCCTCTCGGGCATCCCCTCTTCAGCAGAGAAGAGATCTAGGAAAATCGTGCCGTTCCTACTTTCTCTGGATGATGCACATAGTCCCTCGTCTGAGGACGAAGAGGAAGACAGCGTGCTTCCCGAAGGCGACTTCTGGTCCCTACCAGACCGGAAGGGCCTCATCGGCGTTTTTGCGCAGTTCGGCAACCCAAAGGTTCTCTATAAAAGCTCGGACGTCTACAGCACGCTTCTTGGTCTCCTGGCGAATCGTGAAATCGAAGTCCAGAAGCTAGCGTTGAAGGCCATTTTGGCCTGGAAGCAGGAAGGGGTGAAGCCTTACAAGGAGAACCTGGAAAACCTCCTCGATGACGCTCGCTTCAAGAATGAGCTGACAGTCTTTCTGCAAGATGATGAGCTGATACGGGGTGAGCATCGAGCGGAGCTCATGCCCGTGCTTTTGCGAATTTTGTACGGAAGGGCCACGGCTAAAAAGGGTGCTGCGAGCGGCCGAAATGGACTTCATGCAACTCGCCTGGCAGTCATTCGAAATCTTTCCCTCGAGGATGTCGGAGGGTTTTTGGACATCGCGCTTGGCAACCTTCGCGATGTTCGCGTTGTCGATGCATCAGGGCTCAGCCAGAGTCTGTTGCGAGAGGAAAGGATCACTGCGCGCAAGATGGTGGGGTTGCTTCACATGGTTGACTCTGTCATCAATGAACTCGGCGCGAGCGTTGAGAGGTACATGAGTCCTCTTGTCAATGCCGTGCTATACTGTTTGTTCTCGGCTTCTCGCAATCTGCAGCAAGCAGAGCGCAATGATGAAGAGGCGGATGACGACGCCAGTGTTGACGAAAACAAGACAAGCAACGCGTCACTGTACAGAGTCGCCAGAACGACGTCGTTGAAGTGTCTCTGTGCTTTGGTCAGGAACAACACAAGTTTTGATTGGGCACCTTATCAAGATGCAATTGTCGCGGAAATTGTGGCGCCCGTTGTCATCCAACCTGTTGGGGAGATGGCCCAAGGCATTTCTTGGACTTGGAAGCTTCTCGACACCTGGACTCTCTCAACTCAAACTGCACGTGCCCTGGCAATCAACGCCAATGTCATACCCAAGATTGCGGAATGCATTGGCTTCGAGAAGAGCAAGAATGAAGTTCGGATCTTCGCTCTTGGAATTGTGCGCAATTTGGTCAAGCTTGCGCAAGCTCCGGAGTCTGATGGTGTCGTCAAGGACCGGGTCCTTGACCCCAACGCAGACAAGATTCTGAGCATCATTGGCAACTATTTGCACGGTGGACACGACATAGACATCAGGGTTCTGGAGGCTTGCATTGACACGGTAGTGGAACTCTCGTCCGTGGTTGATGGATCGAGAAACGCCCGCATTCTCGTTGACATCTCAACGCACTTGTTGAATCAGCCCGCGCGGCGTGTGAGCCCCAAGATCAAGGGATCACTGCTTCTGATTCTGGAGCATTACGTTGTCGTCGATGACATTCACAATGACCCGAACTTGAAGAGGAGCGTGTTGAAAACGCTGTCGGGTCTGTTCAGCTTCTTCAAGGACAAGCGAAACCGAGAATCGCTGTCAAATGTCCTCGTGGCCTACGCCACACGAGATCCCACCGTGCAAGAGGTTGCCCGAATTTGCGCAGAACTTAACTCATATGTTGCGGAAAGGTTGGATGAGCCCGATTATGACCGCCGGCTTGCTGCTTTCAACGCCATCACCAAGGTAGAGACGGCCTTCACCATCGAGCAATGGCTACCACTGCTCCACAACGCGGTCTTCTTTCTTCATCACGACGAAGAATTTGGAATCCTGTCATCCAATTCAGCAGATGTGCTTTGCAGGCTGGTCAATGCGGCAGCGGATGCCTGGAACACAGAGATACAGCCGGCTTATGTCGAACTTCTGAACGAGATCATCATGCCAGCAGTCCATGCCGGAGTCAGAGACCTGTCGGAGACTGTGCGCCGCGAAACTGTGAGGCTACTTAGCCACGCGGTGAGCAAGCTCGGCGCCTGGTCATTGGTCAGCGACCTTGCTGTGTTGCTTCCAGCAAATGAAGAGGAAGCCAACAAGGCCTTCTTTGTCAACATTCTCACTCCATCCGTTTCAAAACAAGTGCAGGCCGTCCAGACGCTGAGCTTGGTCAACGAGCGCAATGAGCTCGGTAGCAAGAACATCAGCCAGATTCTTCTGCCACTGTTGGAGCATTTCATCTGGGGACGTGCCGGCGCCGATGATCACGGCCTGGGGGCTCAAGCTGCTGCCACGATCGCCAGCCTCAGTGGTTCTCTCGAATGGTCCCAGTACAGAGCGACACTGCGGAGATACATTTCGTATTTGACCTCAAAACCCGAACTCCACAAGCAGGTAATCCGCCTTCTCGACAAAGTCGTCGATGCCCTGGTCTCGTCTGCTGGAAGTAAGAATGAATCGGCGATGGAGGTGGACGGGGCCGAAGCCGCAAAACACCGCCTTGCTCGGTCGCTGCCATCTACGGATAAGATGGCCGAGGAGTTCACAGCCAACTTCACGCCGCCTTTACTAGAACATCTCAAGGACAAAGACGAGGAGACTGTCAGCGCAAGAGTGCCCGTGGCAGTCATCCTTGTCAAGCTGCTGCGATTACTGCCGGATGAGACTCTCAGTCTGCAGCTTCCGAGTGTCCTCACGGATCTCTGCCACATTCTGAGGAGCAAAGCCGTGGAGGCTAGAGATATGGCCCGATCCACCTTGGCCAAGATTGCCTGCATATTAGGACCACCATCCTTCGGTTTCATCCTCAAAGAAATGCGCGGAGCACTGAAGATGGGTACACAGTTGCATGTCTTGTCATACACAATGCACACCCTCCTCCTGGCTGTGACACCCGAATTCCAGCAGGGAGACCTTGATTACTGCCTAGAGTCAATGGTAGCAGTGATCATGGACGACATCTTCGGAATCAGCGGCCAGGAAAAGGACGCAGAAGGCTACGTGAGCAAGTGGAAGGAGGTCAAGAGCAGCAAGAGCCAAGACAGCATGGAGCTGATTGCGTCGACTGCTTCTATCACCCACCTCGTCGAGCTCGTCAAGCCATTACAAGCCATGTTGCTAGAAAAGCTTGACCTTCGCACGGCCCGCAAAATAGACGAGCTGCTGAACAGGATTGCATCGGGCCTGCAGAAGAATCCAGCCTCCGACAGCCAAGACACGCTAGTTTTCTGCTACGAAGTCATCCAGGAGGTCTACAATAGTCGCAAACCAACCGCCGAGAAGAAGATTGATCCAAAATTGAAGCGATATCTGATACAGAGGGGAGCTAAGAGGGAGGACCGAGGCGCAGCCAGCAAGCACACTTACAAACTGATGCGTTTTGCCATGGACATTCTCAGGTCTGTTCTGAAGAAGCGCGAGGGTCTTCGATCTGCGGGCAACATTAGTGGCTTCATTCCGATTCTTGGTGATGCTATTGTGGCAGGCGAGGAAGAGGTCAAGATCGCGGTCTTCAAGCTCCTCACTGTCCTGGTCAAGGTTCCTTATAAGACCAATGAGCTTAACGACCTGTACAAGGTCGCTTCCAAGGATGCTCTGAAATGCGTCTCTCAGTCTGTGTCCACCAGCACTGATCTCGCACAGACAGCTTTAAAGCTTCTATCTGTCATACTTCGAGACAGGCGCGAAGTTGTCGTCAAAGATGCCGCTATCGACATGCTACTCGGCAAGCTGAAAGACGATCTCACCGAGCCACTGTACCGCCATGTTACTTTCAAGTTTCTGCGCTCCATCCTGGACCGGAAGATCGAAACTGCTGCTGTCTACGACACGCTTGACTATGTTGGAACCGTCATGATCACGAACGACGACAAGGACACAAGGGACCTCGCCAGAGGTGCTTTCTTCCAATTCTTGCGAGAGTACCCACAGAAGAAGAGCAGATGGGAGAAGCAGATCGACTTCATCATCGCCAACCTCAAATATCCCCGCGAAGGGGGTCGAATCTCGGTCATGGAGGTGCTGCATCTGTTGCTAACCAAGTCGGCCCCGGATTTCGTCAAAGAGATTGCAGCAACATGTTTCTTCCCGTTGGTGCTTGTCATTGGCAACGATGAGAGTGAAAAGTGTCAGCTTATTGCTGGTGTGCTGATGAAGGAGATTTTCAGCAAGGCCGACCCAGCGCATCTGAAGGAGTTCTTGGATAGGATGCGGGCCTGGGCAAAAAGCCAGGATAACACTTCCATGTTGAAGTTGGGATTCCAGATTTGGAGCCTGTACTTCGAGGCTTTAGAGCCGAGCGAGAAAGACAAGAAGGACGTGAAGTTGCTGATGGGCAGCCTCGTGACCGTCTTTTCTGACAAAGATCAGGAGGACTGGGAGCTTGTCAACTCTGCATTGAATCTTGTGCGCGTTCTGGTCGACCGGCACCCTGATAGGATGTTATCCACGGCCTCTGAGGAATTGTGGGCTGGTATCTTCCGCTGCATGTCCCACGAGCGCCCGGCCATCAAGCTCAATGCCGTGAAACTGCTGGCTACCTATCTGTCTGATTTCGCTGGCAGCACTGCAGCGCTGACCAAGGGACAGTCCGTTATGGGAGAAAATGGCCAGACACTCGGACAGGAAAAGATCTGGGAGATCATCAGATTGTTGCTGAGCACTCTCCGGGGTCTCGAGGTTGACGAGGAGTTGGCACGGGAGAGCGTACAGATTCTCGTCCCACTCACACGTTTCCTGAGCAACGCAACGGCCGAGGATGACGGCGAGGCCTCCGACCAAGAAGACGGTCAAGACGAAGACGAAGACGACTTCTTCAAAGACGGCGAGGAAGAAGAGGACGAGAAGAAGAAGCCGGGCACAATGACCATGCGCTATGTCTTTTCCCGGCTGGCCGAAGTCATCAGGCGCGAGACGCCGCCCAGGGCGCCGACGCTCGTCTCCAAGCTCGCAGCAGCCGAGGCGCTAGACGTGTTGTGTGCCAGGAACGACGCTGCGACGCTCCAGCCGTCCCTGCGGGCCATCCTCCGGCCGCTTCGAAACCTGACAGACCCGAACATCCCCATGCCGTTCTCGACGGACGAGCTATTCAAGACGCGGCACGAGGCGCTCAAGACGAAAGCGCAGCAGATCATGGACGCGCTGCAGGAGAAGCTGGGCACGTCCGAGTACACCAAGCAGCTGCTTGCGGTGGGCGAGGAGATCAAAGGGCGAAGAATGCACCGCAGTAGCAAGAGAAAGGTGGAGGCCATCACGGCGCCGGAGAAGTGGGGCCGGGAGAAGAAGCGCAAGTTGGAGAGCAAGAAGAACAGGAGGAAGGCTGTTGGGTTGGAGCATCGGAGCAAGCGGAGGGGTTATTAGATGGATCCTCTCGCAGATGTAAAAAGATACATACTTAGACACGCATTGGCCATAAGGCCTAATTCAACACACATCACTGCCTTACAGACCTGATATGAGATGAAAGATGAAATGGCGCCTGAGAAGGGTATCTTGTTGTACTCCATGTACTCTATAGTAATTGTAAAAATTTGAGATGGCTGCCATACGCAACACACACTGGCTTCGTTCTTTTCATCCATATCTTTACATCCACCGGGTATCCCGAACGCCGAAAAATGCTCTCCAGTAGTACAATAGTTCTGTGGCTGCAACACACAAGCGGCCATCATCGCCCACACTTCCAGCTCTAATTTTTCCCGAAGGTCGACCCGGGCGCATCACCCTGACCAGCATCGGCCGCAGCATTGTTGTTCCTGGGCAGGGGCTTCGGGTCAGCGCCGTCGGCCTGGCGCTCAGCCCTGGTAGTGGTAGAACCGTCCTCCCAGAACTCGACGTCGCCGTCCTCACCGAGGGTGCCCCGCTTGACGAGACGGCCCTTCTCGCGCATGAGGTCCTCGACAGTCAGGCTCTTGTTGCCGAATATGTTTAGGTGGTCGGAGATGACGTGGCGGTTGCGACACGAGGGGCAGGTGATGAGGACAGAGCCGTGGTGGTAGCCCTGCTTGGAGACGTTGTGGGCGGAGCGGGTGCCGCAGGGAATGCAGGTGAACGTCAGCTCGTAGGTTGGTTGCTTTGGGGGGTTGCTGGCGGTGCCACCGGTGGTTGTGGCCGGCCTTGGGCGCGGGACTGAGTGGGCTAGACGTATTGAAGATGGTGTTTTTGCTGCGGCTGTTCGAGGCACGGCTGGGAGGATGAACTGTTGCAGGGTTGGTCTTGCAAAGGAGGACGGTCTGGTTGCAGAGCGAGCCAGTGCCCGGAGGCTTGAAGACATGCTTCTCGAGGCCATGCTGTCACTTGCGGGTCTGAGTTGTGAAGTTGCGCAAGATACGGTCGGCGGTCGACGGTTGACGGCAAAGGCATGAGGTTGTTCTCCAAGCCAATACTCTACCCTCCAAAATTTGCCCAATGACGTTACCTGCTGTTGTGGCAGGCAAAGTGCACGCCTTAAACCCGACAGAGTGGGGCTGTTGCTGACCTTTCTCCAATTGCAGCCCACCATTCTCGCACCGAGGGGTCCAGTGCCGTGCATCTGGTTCTGGGGTAGGCAACAGCAGAACAGTCACCGACAGCAGCCGGATAAAGCTTACGATACCCAGGTACTCAACTTTCTGGTTGGCAACATGGTAAGTACCGGGTGCCCTCTTAACGGGAGGGAGCTCCAAATCCACCCCCACCTCTGCAGAAGCACCCACCCACCTTGAAGCACAGGCATGGACAATGGAATGCTTCCTGCCAACCGAATAACTTCTTTCCTGCTATCAATCACTTCGAAACACTCGTTTGCCTGTTGCCATGATCACTTCAGCTTACTATTGTGTAAATCCTTCTCCTTCTCCCCCCTTCCCATTCGGTGGGGCTTGCATCTGCATTGCGTCTTTTCACAGCTTTGACTTCTTGCCCGCGATCCCAAAAGCACACCTACAAATCACAACGCCACCACAATAATCTCACGATCCCATCTGCAGCCCACCACCCTGCCGACCACACCCCCTTCGCGATACCCTCACTTCCACTATACTGTATTCTCCACCTGTCCGACTCTTCCTTCGGTTCCTATTGTCCACAACAGCCACAATGCATCGACCACAGGGCAAGATACGGCCCCCTCGGAAGGTATATAGAGCCTCACTTCTCACTCCTCTCCTCTCCTCACCTCCCTCTGCTGGTTCCACAAGCCATACAGGCAAGGGTTACCATGCGTTTTTACGTTCCCTACTCCCGCCGTGGGCCTTGTGCCATGTGGCAAACTGTCAAGACCCATTTCTGGGTTCCTTATTCCCGCCGTGCTAAAACTGATACACAGCCCATCAATAACCCACGTGCCGGCCTCAGCGAGGAGCAGGAATTCGAGGCGTGCTGGAAGATGCTCTACGAGGCCCTGACCGATATACACGAACGCAACGCCGGAAAATTATCCTTCGAGCAGCTGTACCGGGCAAGTTACAAGATTGTCCTGAAGAGGCGTGGCCCAGCCTTGTTCGACAAGGTCGGTGCCTTCGAAGAGCAGTGGTTCGGAGAGAGGGTCGTCCCGCCCATTTTCGACCTGATGAACAACAGCCACTTGATCAGCCATGTCCTCGGCGACGCCCCCGGCACGACCGACAATGAGCGCCGGGAGTTGGGCGAGAAGTTCCTTAAGGGCATGCGTGATTCGTGGGAGCAGCACATGAGCGCCGTGGCTATGATCTCTGATATCATGATGTATCTGGATAGGGGACAGTCGCAAGATTCGGACCGGCCGCAGCTCTACATGACCATCCTCGGCCTCTACAGAGACAATATTCTGCGCCGCAGATTCGATTCCATCGACGGACCGTTGACGGACTTGATCAACGCCGTTGTTCTTGACCTTATCAACATGGATCGGAAGGGGGACATCATCGACAAGAATCTGGTCAAGAGGCTGCTCCATATGTACGAGCAGCTGGCAGAGTCTGACGACCTGGTCGACGATAATCGCCTCTACATCACTACCTTCGAGCCCGCATACCTCCGAGATAGCAGGCAATTCTATGCACAAGAGGTGGAACAGCTGCTGCGGGAGGGGGATGCCGGCAATTGGCTGCGCCATACAAGTCGTCGCCTGATGGAGGAGGAAGACCGCTGCAGAACGACCGTGTCCTCGTTGAGTACTACCAGCATAGTGAAAGTTGTCGACGAGGTGCTTATTGCTAGCCATCTGGATCGGTTTCTAGCACTGGAGGGTAGTGGCCTCCGCGCTATGATCGACAATGACCGCTTGGAAGACCTCACTCTTGTCTACAGGCTCGTCAACAGGGTTGAGCAAGGCATTGATAAGCTCAAGAAGATCTTGCAGGCCCGGGTCGTCGAGCTTGGCTTGGAGATTGAGAAGGCTCTGAAGGACGCAAATTTCTCGGCGCAGCAACCCGGTGCAGAAGGCGCCGAGGCGGCGAAACCGCTGACTGGCTCGGCCCTCGCGACAGCAGCAGCGGTCAAGTGGGTGGACGACGTTCTCCAGCTCAAGGACAAATTCGACAGATTCCTGCACGGCTGCTTCGGCAGCGACAAGATAATTGAGTCGGCCTTGACCAAGAGCTTCGCCGAGTTCATCAACCTCTTCAGCCGAAGCTCGGAGTTTGTGTCGCTGTTCATCGACGACAACCTGAAGAAGGGGATTCGAAACAAGACCGAGGCAGAGGTTGACGCGAGTATGGAAAAGGCAATCACACTGGTGCAATTCCTCCAGGACAGGGACATGTTCCAGCGATACTACCAGAAACACCTGGCCCGCCGCCTTCTCCACGGGAAGTCTGAGAGTGAAGACGCCGAGAAGCAGCTCATATCGCGAATGAAGCAGGAGATAGGGAGCCACTTCACACAGCGATTCGAGGGCATGTTCAAGGATATGGACACTTCACGAGACCTCACAACGGGATACCGGGACTACATTCGCGGCCTTGGAGACGTCGACCATAAGGTGGTGGACCTCGGGATCAGCGTGCTCACCAGCAACCACTGGCCTTCGGAGGGCATGATGCAGAAGTCGGAAGACGGTCGCTTTGTCGAATGCAACTGGCCGGTCGAGATCAAAGCACTTCAAAATAGTTTTTTCCAGTACTATCTCACCGAGCGCAATGGGCGAGTGCTGACCTGGGTTGGTAACCTTGGTACCGCCGACATCAAATGCGTCTTCCCCAAGATTCCTGGAAAGGAGACAGGACCCCTGAGCAAGGAGCGACGGTACGAGCTCACCGTGTCCACTCATGGCATGGTGGTGCTGATGCTGTTCAACGACCTGGCAGAGGACAAGTCCCTCACTTACGAGGAGATCCAGGCACAGACCAGCATCCCCCCTGGCGATCTGAACCGCGCCCTGGCATCCCTCTCACTGGCTCCCAAGTCCCGAGTACTGCTCAAGGAGCCGATGACCAAGACTATCAAGCCGGGAGACAAATTCTCATACAACAGCTCTTTCGTCAGCAAAGTAATCAAGATCAGAGCACCCATTGTCAGCGCACAGTCCAAGGTCGAAGCCGACGACGAGCGCAAGGAGACGGAGAAGAAGAACGACGAGAGCCGCAACCACATCGTGGATGCGGCTGTCGTCAGAATAATGAAGTATGTCTCACATTTCCCCAATCTCGCACAGAAACAAAACTAACAGATTTGACCAGGGCCCGCAAAGAACTTGCGCACAATCAGCTCATTACTGAGGTGGTCAGTGTCTTGACCGGCCGCTTCAAACCCGATATCCCGATGGTCAAGAAGCGAATCGAGGACCTCATCGCCCGCGAGTACCTCGAGCGCGCCGACGACACGGACGCGACCCAACAGGTCTACCGCTACCTTGCGTAAGGCTTCAACTGGTCGACCGCGCCCCTTGACTGCAGTCAGCGGGTCGGGATTCTTGTGTACATATTGATTATCTTTGATTTCGTGACGAATGAAATGATGCATGGCGTCAGGGCTGGACAGTAGGCGTGGGCCTCATTACATTCCAGGCATGCCATGAACGGCGAACAAAAAGGGTGAAGGGCCATCTGCATAGATTTGATGGAAGAGACGAGGCTGGCGGCCTCACCTCAAACCTTGTGTGGTAGCATCTCAGACGGCTTTTACTCGGCCAGTCTGTTGGAGACGGGGGAAGGATCCTGCCTCTGGCGGATCCTGGGGCTCCGTACATGGCCACAATAGTTGGCCTGATTTGGTAGCCCAGAATAAAACCTTAAACTCTCGAAAGATGCATTCTATGGTTCCTGCTAAGGCATTAACAGTCAAACGCATTTGATCCAACAATACTTAGTACGCAGGCGGCTCAACGCGGTAGGTCTAACGGCCGTCTAATTATAAAGTCCTTTGTTCCTCATCAGTTGGGAGCACAAGAGTATTGTCTCTGCATGGCAAGTAACAATGAATCCTCACGGCTCGCTGTGAGTTCACGCCGCCCGAGGCCTATAAATAATTTCACATTGTTTTCTTCGAGGTGGATTGACCCGAAGATTGGCAAATCACAATTACGACCAGAATAGCATAGACAGAGCCACTGTCTGCCTCTTCGTGTTCAGCACTGAAAGAGACAGAGATCCCCAACGTTGAACCTGAATTCCTACACAACACGATGGCGTCCCGAGGTGATTCAACGGAGGAATCAAGTCCTCGCGAGGACAACACCCGAGGCAAGTCCTATTCTGTGCCTAAGCAGCAGGGCCTTGAGACTGACGTGTCCAGCGATGGTCCTCCCACGCAACAAGGGGCAGCTAACCACCCCAACCGCGCATGGCGCGTTTGTCAGAGTGACTCATCATACAGAGGCAACGGCCCTTTGATCTCCCCTGAGGAGGCCGCCCGCAAGATCCGAACGCAAGGATTCCCACCCCGCGAGTCTGGAATATCCCCGGACGGCTTCCCCAGCCGGAGTATGGAGGCCGGTGGGGTGAGCGGGCTCTTCGGCCAGCGCGAGAGTATCCAAGTCAGTAAAGACTCGACAAGTTCTGAGAACCCCTGCCCATCCCCATCCTCCCCTTGCTCCCCTAATTCAGCGTCCGCCGCGTCATTTACCATCGGCGAGTATGACGCGTCTGTCCACACGGCGCGGGCTATTCCTCTACGCCGTGTTAGGCCTGGTCGGCGGGGAGAAGAGAGACCTGGTGAGAATCGCGAGCCTTCGCCGGCTGCTCTTGACCGTATAGACGATCGGATCGAGGATTGTGAGAGAGTGTGGGCGGACGATTCTCGTGGAGCGGCCGGGCACACTCGGGAAAGTAGGCAACAGGAGGACCGCATGCTGACTGGCGGCAGGGAGATCCGCATTGATCCGTTTTCACAGGGCTCAGATCCAAGGGCAGTTAGCCAGCATGTGGCACCAACTTCCTCAAGACCACGTCACAGACCGGGCGACGCTGTTCACCCCACAGGCAGGGCTGGTGAACTCCCACCGGCTCCTGGCGGCCACCACGCCCACCCTCAACGTGTCTCTTCCACTCCGAGTGAGTCCAGCATCGCCGAGACGATCTTCAACGTCCGGCAGCCCACACCCCCTCCGCATCAGCCGACACTCGGACAACTTGGGCATCAGTCTAACACCGCATCACTCCCTAGGTCGCGGCGGCACGCAGCCACGGCCGTGGGGCCATCCGGAAACCTCAGGCAGGGCCCTTCTCACCCGGCCACGAATGCCGTACGAGAGGAACCTGTTCCGGCCGTGTTGGTCCCTGGTGGGCGGCTCGGTTTCCTGGGTGGGAGTCATCCTCGTCAGCCACCGTAGGTGAGCCGTAGACACGGCCGGGGTGGATCTCGGGGTGAGGAGCGGTAGCATCGTGAGCGGCGCAAATAGTAGAGGTCAGGGACGGTGAGCCTGTGTGGATGGGGTTGTGGCCGTCGATTTTTGGGTCTCAGCTGGCATTTAGTGTCTTCGTTTCCGGCTTGCTGGCGGCGGGATATTGCGGCGTTTTTGAGTTTCTTCCTGTAGCGTTTCTTCCTTCTTTCAAAGAAAGAAAGGCTCATTAATTAGGTGGGTACCTAGGTAGGCAATATCATACTTTTTGGCAGCATCCATGGATGGCCGCTCCAAATGCCCGTCCCACTGTCAGCAACTGCAGTATTATCGCATGCAATATAGATTTGTGAAATTAATAACCTTGAGAGCAAGCCTAACACTACTAAATTAGAGACTAGATATTCACACTTATAAAAATAGAGGGTGTACTTATACTAGGTAACTTAGAGATTAGAGTACTGAAGTTAATATTAAACTAGTTATCTTATAACCTTATCCTACAAGAGGTTATTCTATAGGAGGTTATCCTGAGAGGTTATCCTAGGAGGTTATCCTAGGAGGGTGTTCTAGAGGAGGGTGTCGTAAAGGAGGGTGTCCTATGGGAGGGAGAGGAGGTTGTCCTATAGGAGGTTATCCAATAGGAGATTATCTTATAAGAGTTTATTCCTTAGGGCTTGGGTGTGCCCTCCGCTTTTGCGGGTGCGAATATCCAGATCAAATTTCAAGATCCCGCACTGCATACCACGAAGTGAGTCCGCAAGAGATTGATAAATGAAAATGTATTACGATCATCACTGAGAGTGAAATTCCAAAACTCAACGCAAAACACACGCTGCGAGCGTGCGCAGACGATCAGTCTGAATGCCGACGACCAAGACCACCATCACTTGTCGAGACGCCCATCCAGAATACTCTGTGGCTCCTCTCGCTCACGTCCTTCCCTCTTGAGCCTGCATTTCGGTCTACCGCTAACTAACGTACTGAATCAAACAAGTCAGTATTCCGCCGTTAACTTATAGGGTACTATTGAAGAGATTCAGCTTACCGCTTGGTACCATAGCTGAGGGTTTCGATTAGCCGTCGGTTGAACAGCCTGGACGTACTGGTACGTCTGAGGTAGTTGATAAGCCAGAGGGTAGACGGTTGTCTGAGGGTAGACGGTGGGAATGCACTGGGCGGGAGTTGTGCCGTTGACGGGCATTCTCATGTAGGACTGTGGGTCTGTGGGTTTCTTTGTTTAGCAACTTCTTGAGCAGTGGACTTTCCTGTTGTAACTTGACGATGCCCTCTCTTCCTTCCAGCGAAATCATTAGAGAAGAAGACTTACAGGTGCCAGAGACAGGGACCTGGTAATATGGCTCGGGCCACTGGTAAGGCCGAGTGACGACGCAGCAAGGCATGTTGAGCAAAGTCTTGTAGTATTGGACGATGGTTGTTTGGTGGGTGTGCGTTGAAGAGGGTATGTTTGGCGAGCAGGAGAGTGGACGGAGATGGAAACGTTTGATATCAGCTGGCCATTTATAATGTAGGACTGCCACAAGAACAACTGATCGGCTCTATGCGCCTCCTGCTCTGATAGCTGCAGTGAGGGTGTGTTGAGAGCCTGTATGATGAGGGATGGGCTGGCTGAAGAGGCCACGGTTCTGATTCCCACAAGTCAGAACTGGGAACAGACAAATCAATGTGTTGGGACAATGGTGTGACTCGGCAACAGGTTTTGATATCATGGAAGAGAGAAGCAAACAAGTATGGTGTTTCTGTGTACGAGTCACTCAAAAAGTTGACATTGACCCAACTCTGAGTGGTCTCATGGCTGCATGCCTGAGGTTCCAATCGAGGCTGCGGATTGTGATGGTCTCGCCCCCAAGACCAGACATGGCTCGTTTACGGCTAAGCACAGGGAGGGGACTTGAGATGAGGAGGCTGCATGTTATCCTCATGGAGGGAGAGTCGGACTGTTGTGGGTTGGCAGGCCTGCTAAAAAGCAAGCAGCAGACCCAACTTGAGGCTCCGCGATGAAGGATGACTATCCTGTAGAGATGCCCCTGGCCCGAAAGGCTCGTACAAGAAGAGTGTTCGAGGTCAGTCAAGTCTCTCGGGAAGACTCTCGCAACTAGATGACTACAGTAAGACAAGTCGCAGTGGAGGACTCCACAAGTGGGATGGCATGTCCTGCAAGCACCCGGAACACTCTTTGGACCGTCTTACTGTGTACCTGCCCAAGCAGGGCAGCCGCGGCTCAATGCTGCTTGCTCCTCGCTGCTCCCCTTCCCCGATGCTGCGACGGTGATTCGGGGTGTGGCCCGTGCACCGTGTCGCTGCCCTGTTTCTCCCGAGTGGGGCTGTGATTGGCCGGCTGGGCTGGAGGAGCTCCACCTTGGCTTAGCGGCAGGGCGAGCGAGCAGGTCCGGAACGGAACCTGGAGCGCTGGCACTTCAATTTTCTCAATTCCCTCAGGTAGGACCTTTCCAAGTTGTCAACCACCACCCGACCTCTGCCATCAAATCTCCTCTCCACACAATTGCAAGCCAATTGCAATTGTCTTCCCTTTTTCCTTTAGGCACTCTTGCATCTCTTCCACAATGTTCCGCACAGCTCTCCGACAGAGCACCCGCGCTGTCGGCGCCCTCTCTGCCACCAGCAGAATCGCCGTCGTAAGTCCACACGCACAGCTCAACGACGCAATGTTTTCGCCCCGGCCGCCCGATCCCGCGCCTCCCAGCCCCATCGCCAGCCCCGTCCAGCCCGACCTCAGCCTGCCGAGCATCCATTGAGCAATCTCAATTGAGCTTCATGGAGCTCTGCTGCCCACGCGCGGCCGCTGAGGGGCGGAGGGAGACGGGCGTTGTTGCTGCGGCCGAGCTGCCTTAGCCGTTGCCGAGCTCTCCCAGTAGCTGGGGTTGGGGCGGGCTGGGGGTGGGATCGGGAATGGCCAGCCGTGACACTTGGCTGCACACTTTGGGGTCGCGGATCCAGTCGCAGCCCAAAACACCACCACTCTCGGATCGTCGGGCTAACCATGCTTGTTTTTCCCAACCACAACAGGCCCGGCACGCTGCCCCCGCCGTCGGTTCCGTACAAGCACGCACCTACGCCGAGGCCAAGGCCACTCCCACCGAGGTCTCCTCCATCCTCGAGCAGCGCATCCGCGGCGTCCAGGAGGAGTCTGGTCTCGCCGAGACTGGTCGCGTCCTGTCTGTCGGGTATGTTTGAACAAGGACCCCGCCGGCGCGCATCGTCATCGCCACGGACCCAACAAAAATATATATGGGGACTCTGCGGTTGTGATTGCGCCAATTCGGGAGTCCAAGCCGCTGACAGGTAGCTCCACAGTGATGGTATCGCCCGTGTGCACGGTCTGGCCAACGTCCAGGCCGAGGAGCTTGTCGAGTATGTCGCCCCCGATGTTCGACGCCGCTGGGGCCCTGACTGACAACACCACAGGTTTGCGTCTGGCGTCAAGGGCATGTGCATGAACCTCGAGGCTGGCCAGGTCGGTGTCGTGCTCTTCGGTTCTGACCGTCTCGTCAAGGAGGGCGAGACCGTCAAGCGTACCGGTGAAATTGTATGTCATGCCGTCTGACGATATCCCTCGATTTCTCGCCTGCTGACACCTGCAAGGTCGATGTCCCCGTCGGCCCGGAGCTGCTCGGCCGTGTCATCGACGCTCTCGGTAACCCCATCGACGGCAAGGGCCCCCTCAACACCAAGGAGCGTGCCCGTGCCCAGGTCAAGGCCCCTGGCATTCTGCCCCGTCGCTCTGTCAACCAGCCCGTCCAGACCGGTCTCAAGTCCATCGATGCCATGGTTCCCATCGGCCGTGGCCAGCGTGAGCTGATTATTGGTGACCGTCAAACCGGCAAGACTGCCGTCGCCCTGGATGCCATCCTCAACCAGAAGCGGTGGAACAACACCAGCGACGAGACCAAGAAGCTCTACTGCATCTACGTCGCCGTCGGTCAGAAGCGATCCACCGTCGCCCAGCTCGTCAAGACCCTCGAGGAGAACGACGCCATGAAGTACTCCGTCATCGTTGCCGCCACCGCCTCCGAGGCCGCTCCCCTGCAGTACCTGGCTCCTTTCACTGGTGCTTCCGTTGGTGAATGGTGAGTAATACTCAGCTTAAGACAGGCTACAGTCAACCACGCTCTGCAGGTGCTTGGTGGTTTGACCAGCCCTTTTTTGTGGCGCGCAATGATGGCTGATTTTTGAATGTTACAGGTTCCGTGACAATGGCCGTCATGCTCTGCTCGTCCTAGATGACCTTTCAAAGCAGGCGGTAGCCTAGTTCGTTCCCTTTTCCTCCCTGCCCCCCCTTTTTGGACGCGTAGCAGGACTAACTTCACCACCAGCCGTCAAATGTCTCTGCTGCTCCGTCGTCCCCCCGGACGTGAGGCTTACCCCGGTGACGTCTTCTACCTGCACTCTCGTCTGCTCGAGCGTGCCGCCAAGATGAACGACAAGCACGGTGGTGGCTCCCTGACTGCCCTGCCCGTCATTGAGACCCAGGGTGGTGACGTGTCTGCCTACATTCCCACCAACGTCATTTCCATCACCGACGGCCAGATCTTCCTCGAGTCCGAGCTGTTCTTCAAGGGTATCCGACCCGCCATCAACGTCGGTCTGTCCGTGTCTCGTGTCGGTTCCGCCGCCCAGCTCAAGGCCATGAAGCAAGTCGCTGGTTCCCTGAAGCTCTTCTTGGCCCAGTACCGTGAGGTCGCCGCCTTCGCCCAGTTCGGTTCCGACCTGGATGCCGCCACCAAGCAGACCCTGTCCCGTGGTGAGCGTGTAAGTAGCCCCATCCGCCGCGTGCAAAGGCTAGCCTGCGCTGTACTGCTCGCAATGACTGACAAAACCGAAATCTGCAGTTGACCGAGCTCCTGAAGCAGAAGCAGTACTCCCCCATGGCCGTCAACGAGATGGTTCCCCTCATCTTCGCCGGTGTCAACGGTCACCTCGACCCCGTCCCCGTCGCCAAGATCCTCCAGTGGGAGGCTGACTTCCTGTCCCACCTCAAGACCAACGAGTCGGACCTGCTTGCCACCATCGACAAGGAGGGTGCTCTCTCCAAGGAGACCGAGGGCCGCCTGAAGGAGATCATCGTCAGCTTCACCAAGAGCTTCGTCGCCTAAACAGTCGGCGCTAGTGCAAGCCGAGTGGTCCAGTGGTGGGGTTCAAATGCTAGGAGAGGGTAGAGTTGCAAGCTCGCGTCTAGTTGAGGAGGTGGCCGCCTGAAATCGTGTGTCTGCGTCTAGAAAGGGGGGCCTATCCCATTGGGTGCTGGGAACTGAGAGATGAAATGGTTTTTGGAGAGGGTCATCTCCGGTCAATCCATTGTAAAATAGAGCCGTGACCAATCTAGCACTCAATTTTTTTTGTCCACAAACCTGATGTGCGGCTACAGTCAGTCTCGGGGGCATCTATGGCTGAGTGGCGTACGACATGTACAGTTGTGTTGATCTGGCGCCTTCTTCGTAGAAAATGCTCCGGCGAGCTTGGGCAGCCGAGTGAGTGAGTGCATGCGTTCCTGCGGGCAGTCTCACACAGCTGCCGCAGGTCAGGGTGACATCATGACGGTCCACAGCTGTTCTACTCTCACGTTGACATAACCACTTCTCGAGATTCATTGTGCATTCCGTGTCCTCAAATCCATATTGAACCTTATTTATATGTTCCTCGAGCTATTTTGCAACCACACAGCTATCGATCCGGAGCCAGCAATTGCGATTGCATGCGTTGCAGCAACTCATAATACCCCGCCGTTCAACTTTGAGACCCTCTCACCTCACCTCACCTCACCTCACCATCGACAACCAAACTGAGCGGAACCGCCACCGAGCGTGCGCAAAGACACACATGGAGGCCGAAATGTCATCCGCCACCAAGGAGATCCTCGGCCGCGTGCGGCAGCTGGTGCCGCCCATGCTGGACAAGTTCCACAAGGGTGAGCAGCGAGTGCTTTCCCCGGACAACTCGGGATGACACGGGACGCTGATGACACGGGCCAAACACACAGGGCAGCAGGGCCGCATCGCCGTCATCGGCGGTAGCGAGGACTACACGGGCGCGCCGTACTTCTCGGCCATGGCCAGCGCGAGGCTGGGGTGTGACATGGTGAGCCACGCATCCACCCATCTCATGCCTCTACTGTGTACTGTGTAGGTGCTCTCGCTTTTACTGACACCCCCAACCCCACCAGTCCCACGTGATCTGCACCCCGGGCGCGGCAGCCGTGATCAAGACCTACTCGCCCAACCTGATGGTGCACCCCCTGATGCGGCAGAGCCCCAGCCAGGGGTCCTCGGACCAGTCGGCGTCGAGCGAGCCCGCCGACAAGGTAGCCTCGCGCATCATCGACATGCTCCCCCGGATCCACGTGCTGGTCATCGGCCCGGGGATGGGCCGCGACCCGCTGATGCAGGACACCGTCGCCCAGGTGGTCGCGGCCGCGCGGGGGCGGGACGTCCCCGTCGTCCTGGACGCCGACGCGCTGCAGGTCGTCATGAGGGACCCGGGCCTCGTGAGGGGGTGGAGGCTCGCGGTGCTGACGCCTAACGTCGTCGAGTTCGGGCGGCTGTGCAAGGCGCTCGGGGTCGAAGAGAGGGTGAAGGAGGCTGCTGAAAAGGCTGGCGGTGGCGGGGACGACAAGAAGGAGACTGCGCGGGTCGAGGAGCTTGCGCGGGCGCTGGGCGGGGTCACGGTTGTGCAGAAGGGATTTCATGATTTTATTAGTGATGGGGAGACGACTGTTACTGTTGACGTGCAGGGTGGCAAGAAGAGGAGCGGCGGGCAGGGTGATACCCTGACGGGGAGCATTGCTACGTTCCTGGGCTGGAGGACGGCGTATAAGGAGGGTCTTTGGGACCATGGCAACAAGCTGCCTGAGAAGGAGCTCGTGCAGCTGGCTGCATTTGGTGGTGCTGCTGTTACGAGGGTGAGTCTGCGATATCCCCCTGGCCCGTCCCTTACTATGCCCTGGGATTGCGAGAGACTGACTGGGTTTGACCACAAACAGGAGTGCTCCAGGCTCGCCTTTGAAAAGAAGGGGCGCAGTCTCCAGGCTAGCGACCTGACGGATGAGGTTCACACGGCCTTCCTCAACATCTTTGGCGAGGATGAGCAGGAATCGGGCGGATCGAAGCTGTAGAAAGGTAAGGAGTGGCTAGCATCTAACAAGACAACCAGCCTTGGAACCTGTGTGTTACGAGACACGACAATGTGGAGACGTATAGACTGTGTGCCGTTGTTGATAACGTGGACATTGAGCACCACGAGTGACGTGACCAACGCCGGAGCGAAACGCGCGCGCGAGTTTCGTGGGTCTGAATGCCTAGAGTTTGCTCTAAGCCTAGGTAGTGTAGAGATGTATAAATGGATGGGCAAGGCAGCATGTCTTGGAGTTGCCTCGGTCAGTGTGTTCCTGTTTCTGCTCACTTCCTATTCGCTAGATGTCATACACCCGCCTCAAAGTCGAGACATTTCCCTTCGGCTTTTTCCATGGTAAAATGATCGAAAGGCTGTTCCAGTTCCCCTTTCAAATCACACCTCTGGGTGGTTGTCACTGAGCTGTTTATGTTGAGATCGGATATTCGCAACCGCAAAGATGGACGGTACACCCAAGCCTAAGAAATAAACTCCTATAGGACAATCTCCTGTAGGACAACCTCCTATAGGATAACCTCTTATAGAATGACCTCCTATAGGATAGCCTTCTTTGGGATAATATCCTATGGGACAAGCTTGTGGGATAATTGGTTTGGTGTTAACCTAAGTACTTTAATCTCTAAGTTACCTCGTATGGATGTACCCTTCTTTTTTTGCGGGAACGAATATCCGGTCTCTTTATGTTATTCCGCCAGGTGTCACGGACAACTCAGAACCATATCTTGAAACTACCGTCACCAGCTTTGCATATTGTCTCAGGCAGAGTTCTTCGATGAGCGTTCACTACAGTCTGAAGAAACTGCCTAGAGCTTTGCCAGCGCCGGAAACGAGTTGGGAATGAAACCACTTAGATTCACAGCACTTGAGAGCATTCCGGACTGGGACGATTGCTGAAGGTGAAACAGGAATCGTTCTTACTACTCAACTCTTTGCTGAAATTCAACATCCCACTCGAATTAGAAAAGTCAACCGTGCTCTATGCACTTCGCGCGCGCGATACCCAGTCCTGAACCAGACCTTGACATCCTCCTCATCCAAACTCGCTTCTCCAGCCAGGTGTCAATCTGAAAGCATGCGGTCAAAGCATGTTCGGATCTTTCAAGTCCGCCACACGGATACGCGGCCCGCCTGCATCTTCGTCAAAAAGATGGACTGCGATTTGCGTTGATCTCTCCTTCATTGCTTCACAGAATCCGTCGGAAGACGAGAACACCCCACTTGCCAGCCCCTCGGCTCTCAGAACCCATGCCAGCGGCGAGGCCTTCCAAATTGATGCCCCTTGCCTCCTCGTCGTCCCCACGACCGTCAGAAAGAATAAAGTGGTGAATATCGCCAAACAAGCCGGAAATACGAGCCAGGGCCATTGAACCTCCAGGCACGTTGCGTAATGGTATGCCACTCCGTGCACTTCTCGTGAGAAATTTCTACTCCCGGGGAAAGCTGGGCTACCGCCATGTGTGCGGATGTAAGTAGTAAGGGATTGAGAAATGTTCGCAATAGTACTCTGGACACGGTCAAAGTCGGTATGGCCCCAATTATAGATACTCCGAATTGTTTCTGGCCCTTCAAAACGGCCTATGCCCTCTGATTCAACCGTCGCGTCACCTCCATTAACGTGGGCGGCCCAGATTCCGACCACCCCCCGATTCCGACCACTTTTCACACACAAAATCCCACTTTTCACACAAGCCTATTAAATCCAAATAAAATCCTATAACCCTAACCCTATATTCATTTAATAGCATTTTAAATTTTCTACTATAATAAAATATTATAAAAATCTATTTTAACCTTTAATATTTTTAAAAATAATTTTAAAAGTAGATAATTTTAAAATATTAAGAAATAGTAGGAGTTCATATATTAGCACTAATATTTTTAGCTTTAACTTTAATTTAATTATATCTTCTTAAATAAATTAATTATAATTCTACTTTCTTTTAAAAACCTTTAATTATTATTATTATTATTTAACTTAATAAAAGTTTTATTAAATAAGTATTAATAATATTTTTAAAATTTAACTTTTATAAAGGTTACTTTAAGATGTAATTAAATATTAGTAGAGTTAAATAGTTAATTAAACTATAGAGTTAAATTAAAGTTTTAAATAAATTAGTTTAATAGTTAACTAAATAGGATTTATTAGTTCTTTAATTATTTATTATAAGTATTAAGTTATAGAAAATATTATAATATTTTTATTATTTTTAATTATTTAATTATTTAAATTAATAAGTAGGTATAGATAACTTTTTAATTATAGAGTTCTTTTTAAGTTTATTATACTTTTTAAAGTTAGAATATTCTTTATTAGAGTAAAAGGTTTTAAATAAGTAATTTTATATATTTTTATTAGTTTTATATAGTTAGTAAATTTTATTAATATTTTTATTTATTATATTAAATAGATTAATTTTTAATAAATTAAATATTATATAATGTTTTTATTTTTATAATATTTAATTTTTTATTAAGAATATATTTTACTTTATATAAGTTATTTTTAATTAAACTATTAAGGTTTTTATAGTGAATAGAATTAAGTTTAGGAGTAAATAGTTAAATAAATTATTATTAATTATATATTTATTTAGATATTAAATATTAATTATAAAGTAAACTTAAATATTAATATTATAATTTTTATTTTAAAGTTTAGTTTATAAGTTAAGGGAGACTTTTATATTATAGTAAATAGTTCTTTATATAAAGGTTATATTTTAGAGTTTTAATAGAATAAAGGTTTATAGATTTTATTTATATAAAGTTAGACTTTATTATTAACTTTAAATTCTTTTAATAATATTTAATATTATAAAGCCTTTTAAATTTAAAGGTAATAATATTTATAATTAATTATATATTTTATTAAATATATTTTTATATAAAATAAATATTTAATAATTTTTAAGTAATATTTATTAGGTATTTAAATAGGGAAGAGATTTTAAATTTAAATAGAAACTTATAAAGATTAATATTAACTAAATATTAATAAGCTTTATTTAAATTTTATTATAAAGTAAGTAAAATATTTATTTAAAGTTTATTAGGGTATTTAGTAGTATAATAACAAATTATTATCTTTATATTTTAGTTTTATATTTAAAAGTATTATTAAATTATAAGTAATAAATAATAATTATAAGTAATAAATATTAAAGTTCTTTTATATATTTATTTAAAAGTAGGAGGTAAACTTTATATCTTAGTTTAAGATAATAAATTTAAGGTAAACTTAATTATTTAATAATAGTTAATAACTTAATATTATACTCTATTATTTAATTAAATATATAATATATTTTAAAATTAATAGTATATATCTAAAGGTTTTATATATAATTAATATTAATAAGTTAAAAGTTTTAAATTTATTTAACTATTATAATATATTTATAAATAATATTTTAAAAGATTTATAATAAAGTTTAAAAATATTATATATATTAATTTTTAAGGTTTAAATTAATTAAAGGTTATTAATTAATTATTAATTTTCCTTTTTAAGTATTATATTAATAATAATAATATAAATAAATAATTATAAAATAATACTTTTTATTAATATATACTTTTAAAATATATATTATTTAATTTTATTAAAGTAGTACTTATTATTATATATATTATATAGAAAGTTTATTATTAAGGGTATAAAATAACTAATTATTTAATATTTTTAATTAATATTATATAGAAGTTAATTATATAAAATAAATAGATAATTAAACTTTAAAGTAAAGATAATATCTTTATTATATTAATAAATAATTAATTTATAATTAATTAAATTAAAAGTAATTAAAAATTTAATAATTTTAATATATATAATATTATTTTATAATTTTAAATAAAATAAGTATAAATAATACTAAATATAATTATTTTAAAAGATATAGAATAAGGTTATTATTATTTAAATTTTATAAAAATATTTTAAAAATTATTAAGAATAATATTTAATATATTAAGGTTATTTTATTAATATATAATATTATTATTATTAATTATTAATTAAAATAAAGTATTAATATAAAGTTAAAGTAACTTATAAAATAATAAACTTTAAACTAAAATTTTATAAAATAAATTAAAATATTAATAAATTATTAATTAATATAATTAATAAATAAAGTATTAAGGTAGGTATTATTTAGAATTCTTTAAATAATATTATAGTTAATAAGTATAATTAATAGTTTATAATAATTAAAAGAATTAAAATATATAAGTACTTTATTATTTAAATTAAATAAGTAATCTTTTATTTAAAAGTTTATAATTAACTTTTATTTTAATAAAATAATAATTAAGAAAAATAATAAAAAATAGTATAAAAGGAATATATTTATTTAATTTTTAAATAAAATTATCTTTAAGTTAGAATACTATTATATTAAAGTTATATTAAAAGTAGTTATTAATTTAAAAGAATAAATATTTATATAAATTTATATAATAAATTTAAAGTTTTATAAATATATTTTTAAAGGTTTTAAAGCTTTTAATTTTTATAAATATAGAATTATAATATTTATTATATATATAGGTAAGGTATTTACTTTTATTTTTAAATATTAGTTAATTAGTTTTATAATTTTTAATTAATAAAGTAATTTTTAAAGTTATAAAGCTTTAAAGAGTTAAATATAATATAAATTATTATATAAAAGAAACTAATAATATTAAAATAGATTTTAAAGTCTTTAAATAAAGTAGAAAATTTAAATTTATAAAAGTAATAGTATACTTTTAATAATAATTTAATTAAAAGTATTAATATAAAAATTAAATAGTTTAATTAGTAAATAATTAATATAAAATTTAATTAATAAAAGAAATATTTTATATTAATTAAATAAATTTAGTATTTATTTAAGATATTATAAGTACTTTTAAAGGTATTTAAAAGATAATTAAATTATTAATAAAAGTTTAATAAAAGTTTTAAAACTTATAAAATAAATAGTTTATAAAATATTAAATATAAATAAATAAATTATAAAAACTTATTAAAATAATTTAAGATTATTTAAAGTTTTAATAATTTATAATTATAAATTAATTTTAATATATAAAGTAAATTAAAAATTAAAAGAAAAAGTAGTAATATTAATTATTATAATAAACTTTTATTATAAATAAAATTAATAATATTTTCTTATAAGGGTAGTAAGTAATTATTAAATATTATTTATTTATTTAAAGGATAAAAATTAATTATTATATATTTTTTAACTTTA